GAGCGTGTCTTCAGCTGAAGGTGCTTCCAGTTGCACAGTGTGGAAGGGGTATATCTAGTTGGCGTAGTATCTCCCATCTCCCCACCTGCTCAGGCACATGAAATACTCCTGAGACACAGACAATTGAGATGCTTCCTGTAGGTCATTTCTCTGTCCTCGCGCTTCTCACGTGCTGTGATTACACTGGCTGTGCTATCTTCAGGGCTTTCAACACCACTTGATCTGCCTGAAGCTGTCAGCCACCAGTGTTCTAAATCCCGACTTTTGAGTCAAGGGTTATGTTTTGCAAGTTACCCTCTTGTGTCAGACCACATCAGGAATTGCTTCGCATCCATTTTCTCTAAGCTGTGCTTTTCTTCCTGAAAGATTCCAGAGTGATGACTGTAGTTAATCATTCTGTGTGCCGCATGGCATTTGTGAGGTTTGAAAAAGATCTGCAGTTGCCTATTACACTGACTAGTTGGAGGAGAAGTAAGGGACCAGGTTGCTAATATTGTTAAAAGAAAAGCTGCAGTTCAAAGCCACAGTTCAGCTTCTAGGCAAAACAGGCTCTGATGTGCTGTTCTTTTCTGCCCTGGCAGAATATTAGCCCTACATATAACACCTAAGGGTAGGATATGGCATGGAATGCATGTGTTTGTGCCAAACTTAACTTTGTCAGCCTTCAAAAAAATCACCATCTTCGAAGAGCCCTGAATTCTGCCAAACCAGCAAGCTTGAGTTGGTTAGAGAACACACTGCATGAGAAAATGGGATATTCCATCTCAGGCTAATCTTACTTCCCCAGTCTCTGTTGAACAATGGGAGCATTCAGTGTGGAGGAATACTTTACCACGAAGGGGTTATGGCATAAGAAAGCATTCAGACTTTTTACTCATTTCCCTACCTGGGAGTTTTATGGGATAGTGGATAAGTTAAAGCTCCTCAGGGGCAGCTGTAGCTTGTACTCTGGTATTTACACTGGATTTTGTGTAGCCATTTACTACAACGTTCACTAAAGTCAGTCAGGTAACCCCAGCATCACATGGTACACGCAGCACCGCAGGGAATTTGTGTAGACACACACACAGTGGCCTGCACCAGGAGAGCACTGTGTGTGCTGGCTGGTTTGGTAGCTTGCAGTATGTGTTTTCTCCCAGCTTTTCTCTCTGCAAATCTCTTTCTCTTTGTATCTGAAGTGCTGGTGCGAGACTGGGAGAGGCAGGAACTCTAGTCAGATGGTCAACAGGCTCCGAAAGTGTCCCACAACTCCTCGGCTAGTGTTTCATGCCTCTTCTTGAAGGACCGCTTCTTGAGGCAGGACAGCTGTAAGCTGGTCAGTCCTGTGCTAATTCTCTGAGTAGTGCGGTGGTTGCTTCCTCACACCCTGCTGTCTCCCCAGAGTAGTCCACAAGAGGCCTCCTAATATAGTAGGAGTTACTCTGTGGAAAATGTTTGGATATATGGTATTTTCTAATTAATTTGGCTAAGATGCAGGAAATTTTTCACCTTTAACTTACTTTGAATGCAGGTTTTATTTGTCTTGCCAAAAAAATTGATCTCCAGAGCGGACAAACACAAAGGCTGGAACACAGGCTTTGGCGTGCCATTATCCACACCGGGAAAGACGAGGGACTCGGGAGAAGGGCAGGACTGCAGGAGCTATAAACCCAGGGCAGAGCCGCGACATTTGCTGCACTGTGCGCCCTTTCCTGAGCTGCTCTGCCTCTGTTTGTGAAGAGCTCAGGGCGAACCCTATTGCATGTGAGCGCACAGCAGCATCGCTAATGATTTTCGGGACCATTGTGGCCAGCCTTTCTCTAAGAGCAAGGGAAATATCCAAAGTGCTGTCATCTCCTTTCTTCTTCCCAGAGATGATTTCCATCTGACATAATGGCAAATATTATCCTATCTGTTCATCTCTAAATTATAAAGGAAGTTTTTTCTCTTGCTGAGCTCTTACCTCGTACAGTATGTAACTGGTCATGGTCAGAATAACATCTAATGTTTTCTGCTCCTGCACAAATCATTTTTAGTGTTTGGTATACAAAGTTCCAGGCTTTGGGGAATGCCAGGCTCACAGTGCCCCATATAGCCATTAATACTTCCTTCCAAAATTTATTATTCTTTAATCTCTCCCATAATGTATGAATTACAGTCCCTAGTGGAAATTCCTCATTTTCCTGCATATATCATTTCAGTTTTTGAAATTCTACAGTACTGCCATAGTTTAAGATTAATATGCCACCCTTCTATTCCTTTGAGCAAGAACCGGATCCTAGCTCTGTTACTTCGCATCGCAGAAAGCTTATTTTAGCTATTCTGAGTCAAATTTCCATTTTTATGGGGTTAGCAGTAAGTCTTTTGCTTTGGGGGCTTGCTGCAATTTATAATCATGATTGGGGAAAAGTAAAGCTTGCTCTCCCCATAGATACCCACTGTTTTGTAAGTGAAGAAAATAGGATATTGGCAGGGGAACTTGAAAGATTCTGGAGCTTCAGACGGCTTCCCTTAAGATTATTCATAAGCTGTCTGAGAAGGCAAAGCAGGGCGCTGGAAAGGATTTTGTCAGTTGTTCCTTGCAAGGCAGTCAGAGCTGGTTGAACTTGGAG